GCTGCCCCAGCATGTATCTACGAACCCCTTCAAGTGCTTGTAGGCATTTTGATCGGAGGCGCCCATAAAATATCCTCGTTGCTCGAGCAAGGTCAACATAACATTTGTTATTTGAAAGTTCCCCGCCTGGATTCGGGGAGGAACGATGGCACTCGCATATCCTTGATTTGGTAGCACCCTTGGGACTTCTCTTGGCGGAGGCGGAGGAGGGTCTGGAATAGGATTGTTGTCATTGGCCTGACGGCCTCTACGTGGAGCTTGAGGTACGGGAAGCTCATCATGATCAATATCTTCTACCTCCTCCCCCGCCATGGCATTGCCAATAGGGTCATTAGCATTTAAAGCCATAGTACCTGAATGATCGACACAAACAAAATTAGTAAACAAGAAGGAAAGAGAAGCAAAACACAAAAAGAACTAAACAGATAGTCAACACCGTAAGCTCCCCGGCAACGGCGCCAAAAAGTTGATCGCTGCCAACTCGACACTACACCAAGGTAGGAAGAGCGGGTCGCAATCGCTTTTATCCGAATAGTGGTCGGGATCGATTTCCACAGGGAGCTAGTAGTGGAGTTGGATTTTCTGTCTAGTCTAGAGATGTGTTTGTGCTCCTAATGTCACTTCAAACATTTCTTGGTTTTTGATTTTATAACTACTATGATAAAACTAATGATTAACGCTAAATTATGCTACTTGAATATTGCAAAGTTGTATCTAATGGGAAGGAAGGCACTAGGGTCGTGGCATTACCTAGGTGGCTAATTGACGGGTAGATGTTACTAAGGATAGATTGACATATTTGCGGCTTATACTATAACCGTTGCACAATTGTACCCACTCTCACACCTCTCTGTAGAGAGAGTGATTTTGCCCAATTGACTCTCTCGAGACCAATTGGGTAGGCCAATAAGATCGAGCAACTAGGGTTCAAGTAGGGTGATTACTCTCTCGAGATTTAACCCGTTAATTGGGACTATCATTTCTCATGAGTCCATCCCAATTCCTTGTTGCGTCAATTTTTGGGTCATAAACTCTCTTTCTCAAGAAGAGTCAAACCCACAAAGCTTGAATCAGTGTTTGCAACCACCAATTCTTAAATAAAAACATAAAACCAACCCAAATAACAAACACCCATAATCAATCTAACCCTAGATGGCAGCACCCATCAATTACCCACACTAGGGTTGAGCCACAACCCTAGCTAATGGGTTTAGCTACTCATGCTAGATACAGAAATTGAAGAAATAGATGAAGGACTAAGCATATTAATTAATTACTAAAAAGAAATCACAAGAATCTATGGTAAAATTAAAGCTAAAGTGCCAAAAATGGCTACAAAAGTTGTTCTCACGAGCGCAGCCCAGTTCTGAAGATAACCGATGACCTAAAAATGATAAAATGTCCTATTTATAATAGGCTGGAAAAACTGGACAAAAATACCCCTGCGGGGTCAGTGCGGGCCGCGCAAAATGGACCGCGGCCGCACTGGCTCTTGGACTTCTCATTTCTGCTTCTCTGAAGTTAGGGACCGTGGACCGCGTGGAAGTGCACCGCGGCCGCGGTGGAATTGCTCCGCGGACCGCACAAAAGAGTAGCGCGGCCGCGGAGCCTGATCGCGGACCGCGAGAATCGTACCGCGCCCGCGTTGCCTCCAGCTTGAATATGTCAATTCTCTGAACCTTCTAGTGCGGCCGCATTCACTTTTGCACGGTCCGCACTAGGTTCTCTTTTCCTCAATTCACTTGGTCTTTGACACTTGAGCAGGTTTCACTCCTTTTTGAGCTGATCTTTGACATTTGTCACTTTGTCGATCAAACCTGCAATCAAGCACAACTTGTGAGCATTTTGGGACTATTTTGTAGCAACATATAACCAAAGCATAGGCAAGTAGAGGCATAAAACATGTTAGAATCCCGACTTATCACCCTCCTCGAACATCCTCATGTCCTCAGGGTCAATGTCGGATTCGGATTCATAATCCTCAACCATGACGCCCTTCCCCCTCTCACTGGCCGAAGAAGGGGTGCGGCTTGGCTGAGATGACGATGGCCTGCTCGGAACAACAACAGCAGCCTTAGAATTCCGTCCCTCTGTCACAGTATACTCTTGAACGCTTGCAACGGGCGTCGCCTCCATATCTAGGCTGGCACCACTCGATCTCGGGCGTCGTCGAAACAAGGTCGCCCCTCGAGGGTGTTTCGGCTAGAGAAGCCCCTTCCAACACTACCCTTCAACGGGGCCTCTCCACTACTGACACGGAAAGATTCGCCCGTTGAACGGACTGCGGGAACCGGAGTCTCCGGTTGAGGAGTAACCTCCAAGCGCACGGCTTCGGCCGCGGCCGCAGGTCGGGCAGTAGCTCTTGGTGCAGGCCAGGCAGCAGCCCTCGGTGCAGGCCGGGAAGAAGGCGCCGATTGACGGAATGCGAGCGGAGGAGCCCTCGTTCTTCTCACTCCCCTCCGACCTTCAATAAGGAGGAATTCGATCATATGACGACAAAGTTGAAGAAAATATGAAACAAATAACAAAGCAAAATCACGACGAGCCAACTCACCAGTAAGAGGCTTGCGCCCAAACTTCTCATGGAAAGGCGCCCACTCACAAATCCCCATCATGTGGGGGAGAATTGCACTCACCCATTCGTGGATATCGGCAACCAGCAGGGGGGGGGGAGGGGGGTTAGTCTCTCGGCTGCAAAAACAAAAGCAAACCCTCAGTGAAGTCGCGAATAGGAGACGACCGATGATCGTCTCAAGAAAAATTGCATAAAGTAAACAGGAAAACTCACGAGCGAAGTTCCACGTCTCAGGAAACCCTGCTGGGTTCGACACGATATGCCCTATTCGGACATAGAAGTAGCTCTCCCAAAAGCGGCGGTTGGCCTTATCGTCCATCTTCACCACCAAACTCTTGGTCCCTCGATGACGCATATGGATCATCGTACCTCGAGAAAATGGGGGGCGAAGAGGTGGAGCATGTGTCCTAGGGAGATTCGTCGGCCAGCCAGCTCTGCGTACTTGATAAGCATAAGAAAGAGATTGTACCATACGGAGAAAGTTGGGCGGGGCACACTTCATAGTAACGGCAGAAATCCACCACCAAGGAAGGAAGGGGAAGCGTGTACCCAATAACAAAGGGATGCGCGTAAAATGCGCAGTAGCCCGGGCGGTGCAAATGCACTATATCCTTATCCGCCGGCACCATTTCAATATGATCGGGAATCCCCTATTTGGCTCTAAACATCGTGATCTCCTCAGCATCCATTGTGGAAGGAACGGGCTTCGGTTCGTCTTCGGCTGGGGCTGTTGAAATCGGTCCTCATCTTCCCCGGGCGGGGAACCACCTAATCCACCGACGGAAACCCCTCATCCTCCACCACTTCCACTCCCTCTTCTAGTAGGGATGCGTCATTCTCCAGCACCAGAGTACCTACAGCTCTGTCAGAATGGGAAGAAGAACTAACCATTTGTTTTCTTTGACCAAAAGAAACAAAGATGATAAAAGAAAAAGACAACGGTCACAGCAAATCCTAGCAGGAGCAGGAATATAATAGATCAAGGAAAGAGGAAAAGACTTGTGAAGTTCTCTTAAGCAATTCAAAGGCGTAACATTCAAATGAGAGGCTCCCCCGCCCCCTGTTTATAGGGATAAAAATGCCCTGAGCGGGAAAACCAAGAGCTGCCAGTTAGAAAATGAAAAGGGCACGAGAAACGACACAATACCTAGGAAACGTGCGCCATAATAACGCGTGAGAGATATTAATGACATCCTGAACTGACGTGACAGTCCAATTTTGAACTGACATAATGGTCCAAGGCAATTCTCGAAGCGTCACGTCGCGACCTTGCCATGAGGTCCTCGCCCTCCGCATAGAGCATTCGGATTTCTCCCGATTTTCGAATCAACAGAGTCCGCCCATCGAGTTTGCCAAGAGGCGACCCCAACAGGCGGAGGGACTAACTGGATGGGTCAAAATCTGACCACACGTGGGTTGGTGCTAAAAGGAATGATAAGAGGTCGTCTAAGCCATGGTCGTACTCACAAGGTGTAATAACAACGAGCACCTCGGCTACAGCCGAGACCAAGCCGTCAAAAAGCTTGTATGGCAGAGTAAATGTTGTGATACTTGAGGGAGGCGATGCGAATTACAGTCAATGGATAAAGGCATTCTGGTTAAGGACCGTTGGACAAAAGGAATACTGATAATATATATAGGAGGTAAGAAGACAAGAAAAGGGGGCGGCTCTCCTAGAGAGAGAAGAGGTAAGGAAAACCAAGAAAAGGCTTAGATAGCAAATACAAATCTCTGTAATCGTGATTATTAAATCAACAAAGATAGATCTCGTTACTGCCGATGGCATTTGATCTTTTCCGTCTTTATCACCTCATTACGGGACAATATGTCAAGAATGTAAGCCTATCATCTATATTTGATATCTTACATGATACCAGAAAATTTATCAGCTTGATTATATCTCATTCTCTTATTTGACATGTTTAGATCTAGAGTTAATTATTCTTGGCTAAAATTTATCCTCTATTTTCTTCATTAATTAGTTTAACAAAAGGTTTAATACTTTTTGGTCGAACACACACCAAATATTTCTACCAAATCTATAAATAACTGGCTAAGGTTTATTAGGAGTTGGGCGGTAGCATAAATGATGCCGTCAAGTTGGTTGAAAAAGGTTGTCAATAAGTCTTTTAGTTCTAAGTAGATGTCCTATGTATTGTATATGAATCTTTAATTTTGCCTCAATTTTTGTTCTATTCTTATGTGAGTTTGCTGTTGATTCCAATTCATATTATACACACATGCATACATATATGCGCGCGCAATTACATGCAAATTTGATAATCGGAAAGTGAAAGTACATATGTGGAAAGAAATGATTCATAGCATGTGAAGTGTTTGAGGCATATATTGGATAAAACTTACTTTATATTTCTTTGGCGTTGAAATTAAATATCACGATGGTAGTAGTTTACAAAACTTAGAGTTATGCATTCTCACCGGGTCCCCCATAGAGTACAAAATGCTTAAACTTCCCGGGTATGGCATGTGGTAAGTCAACTACCCTGTATAAATTAGGATTATCGACATGTACCGTTGTTTCTATGTCCCAGGTCTCGCCTTTATCATCTAAAATTGTAATTCCCCTACAATAAGCATCATGACTAGTGTCTCGAACGGGAAAAAAGCTAGAACCCATTGGAGGTTCAGGTTCACCTGGCGGACTATATACCACTCCTCCCCATTCAACATTTGTAGCAAAGCTAGCCAAGTCAGTGAAGATCCTTTGAGGCCAGAACCCAATTTGTATATGATTTTCTTCAAGAAAAAGCCACCAGTTTCCATTTACGAGATCCTTTTATTTTTGAGAAGAAAATGTCTAAATTAGTACTTTGTTGTTTTCAAATTAATTCGTAAGTACTACAAACATAAATTTGAATCAAGTAAAGAAAGAATATAGGATGTACGTACTCGACCGATGGAAAAGGTGTCTTCCCATGAAATTTTATCTCCACGGTGTGAAACACGTTTAAATGTTTTATCAACAGGTACCTCAGTGTTTACTAGAACAAAACCAGGACATAATGTATTGAAACAATGTGTATTACCAGCCTGCGAAACATACAAAAATATGTCATATATAAGCAATGCAAAATAGTGGTGGTATATAGACTGAAATAATGTGTATTACCAACCTATGAAACATACAAAAATATGTCATATATAAGGTATGCAAATTGTGGTTACAAGAAGATTATTAGTTTCAAAAAGTTGAGTTATAAATCATTGAAGTAAATTATAAGAAACTTACTTGAAAATGTATAAACATCCTAGTTTTGTTATCCCCATAGAGTGTTGGGTCCACCTATAATATGAGACAGAGATATCGCGAAGATCATAAGCCTACTGATATATATATATGGTAATTCAACACTTGAAAATGTTTAAAGAGCCTATTCAAATTAACTAAGTTTTTGATGAATAATTTGTTGAACTTACTCTCCAACCAACTTGTATAATATCTGAGTTTTTTTTAATTTTCAATCGACATGCACTATGTTGTTGACCTTTAACATAAGGATTCCATATACTAGCTGCCATTTGAGCTCCCGCAAACTTGTTATTTGGACTATCTTCAATCCGGACAATAGCAACCTGTATGTAGTAAATGAAAACGTATATCCAAATTTAACATGTATATTTCTCAAATTGCAGAATTTGCATATTTAACTGTTTTTACGTCATGTAAACCTAACTCAAAATTCAAAAGCAAAGACCTGTGACGCATAATTCAATATTTAAGTTTTAACATCTATAAATTAAAGTCTTGTTGTATTATTTCAAATCCAATTAAAAGACAAAGCAAATTAACAACAGACTAGAAAATGAGGAGATGAATGTTAATATCGTGTACCTTGTATCCTTGTGAAGATCCGTATATTTTTGGCTCACTATTGTTAGTAGTCTGTGCAGAGGCAATAAATATACATATATGAGATTCTTTATACACGAACTCTTCAATTTACCTTAATGTAATTATATTCAGTATAAATGGAATTATGGATTTTATTTTTTGGAAGTGAATTATTCTAGCTAAAGCAGAAAATTGATGTAACGTTATCTTACCCCAACTAATTGGGCATCAAATGCGACATCCTCTGGCGGTGGCATATGTCTTTGTCTAATAAGATCATCTTTTGTAATTCTTTTAATTGGAACTGTTCCAGAGGGACAACCTTTACCGTTTAACCATATTCTCAACGACTGACTGGTCGATGATGTACTAAAATTTTGCTTGGTCCTCGATAAAGTAGGTTTCATCTGTTAACCCAAAATTTGGATTATGCATCACTATATCGTATCAGTGCTAGAAAGCTCAACATAAAATGGTACTAGTTCGGAGACATGCCTGGGGATGAAAATTATGGTTCTTCAATAACGGATGATCAAATGCAGGTTGTTTATAGAAGTCCACACAATCATATGTATCTCCATATATAGTCTGTAAACCAAAAACTCATAATAAGTAATCTTAGTTAAACAATTTGAATATCTTGCAATTTCATTTGTAATTTTTGAATACATAAAAACTTAACAGCTAGCAAAATGATCGATAAAGAATTACACACTCAAGTCGTCTCGTGATTCATCTATATTTGAATTCAAAGGTAAATATTCATTCGCATTAGTATCTATACCAACCCAATAAATACATGACATATCTTTTATATATCACTAAATTATAGTTACTTAATACACAATCACACTTTATTTTATAAAAAATAATTAAACAAATATATTCAATCTACCGAAATTTATTTTGTTGACTTTAAATCTTGATGGACAAAGATGAATAAATGGAAGTTATTTTCTTTTTTCCTCGAAAGCGAGAAAACAAATACAATAATACTCAAGAAAATTATAAGCGCAAGAATTTTAATGATATACCTTAATTGTTTTGACTGCTGGTTTGTTCAAAAGTTTAAGTTTCTCCTCCATCTCTAAATCTTCCGACTCGTACATTTTTGTTTCTCCTTGAACCCTATTGTAACTCAGAAGAAAATATAGTGCCAGTAAAAATCGTCCAAAAACTCTTTGATGCATCAACATTGCCTGAATTCATGAATATTTTATAGGTAAGAATGTGTAAAAATATGTATCAGTCAAACTAATGTTTAAGCCACAAAATTAATTTACATAAAATGAAAGCACTAAACCGATGACTAACTTGATTTTCATATTTTTATGGATGAAAGTCAATATTTATGTAAATTAAACTATTGTTTAAGCAACCAAATTAATTAACATAAAATGAAAGCATTAAATCTGGGACTAACTTGATTTACTAGATGAATAAGAGATGAAGTATATGAGCAAATATCACCTTTGCGTAATATGACATCGTTATATATAGAAGTGACGAGTTTAAAATGGCGATTATCCAAACCATTAATGTAATTTTCTAAAGTGTGATTAACAGAATCCACAAAAAGGATTTTCTGCGAGTAAATGTTGATTGCTCATTTCCAAGTAAAATCCAAAAGACGATCTGACTATAGATTACATCAGAATTAATATTCTCTCCGTTCACTTTTACTTGGCACCTTTTGACTTTTCACGTCCCATGAGAAATAATAAATAAAGTGCATAATTTACCATTATACCCACATTAATTGATGCATATTTTATTGGATTTGAGAAAATGATTTAAAATGAGTAATAAATACTTTATTGTCTTCTCTTAATATGCGTAAAGTGTCAAGTAAAAATGAAAATCTAATTTTAATATATATGCCAAGTAAAAGTGAACGGAGGGAGTAACATAATTTTTCCGCTAATCAGATCTGGTTAATTCGGATTTTTCAATTACCAAACTAAACCGACTGTGTCGGGTTATTAAATATAAAGACCAAATCAAACCAATAAAAGTAGGAGTTTTTAATCTCAATTTTTCTCGGGTTTTTCTGGTATTCGGATTTTTTTTCGGGATTTTTTTCTTTCATAAAGTCTTCATGGCATAAAATATATATAATCTTGCTCCAGATATTTCCTTAATCCTAGTAAAATAGAACTATATAAGGTATTTTTCAAGAAAATAACATAAAATATGAGATGAGTCATGTCATTGTACTATAATATTCAACAATAAAGATAATAAAATCACATAAATTAAATATTATTAATAAGCCATAATAAAAATGAACATAATCTAAAATTACTAAATTGTTAAAATAAGCACGACTAATATGTACTATTATTTTCATGACTAAACACTAAAAAAATAAGTTATACATTTTATCTAGACCATGAAAAAAAATTAGGTATCCAACACTATTCTCATTTCTAGTACACTCAAATTGAATGCCTTTTGTTAGCATTAGTATTGATTTGATTTTGGTTGGATTTCTTTGAGTTACTAACATTTATGAACTATAAAACTTATTGGAGCATTCAAAAATTATAAGTCCAAACTTGAAATAATACGTTAAAAGATAAGAAATATTTATAAACTACGCTACAATAAATATTTTTATGTATTAAATATATTAAAAACTTTTATATATGTAATGTCGGGTTGGTTTAGTCTCGGTTTGACTTTTTTTAGTTAAAATTAAACCAAACCAATTATGATCGAATTTTTTTTCCAACACCAAACCAAATCAAATCGAACCATACTCAGTTTTTTTTTTATCGATCTGACTCAGATTATTATTTGGTGCGATCTTTCAGTTTCCTTTGTATACCCCTACTGCTAACTATCACTCTTTCTAACAAAATCTTTGGGTGACACACACAAAAAAAAAAAGAGAACCAACATTTCATCTCATAGATATTTGGTACAATCATTAATTTATATATTGATGGCCCCCTGTTTTTATTTTTTCATATATTTACTGATTCTATTTATAATTTTTTCTATTTTTTCTCTCTCGGATAGTGCTTGCTAGTAGTACCGGGATTAATTCAACTATCAGGACTTGAAATTGAAACCTTTAATTAAGGTGCAACGCTATCAAAAAACAATTTATTCTCAAGGGACAGTTCAAAGATATCACAATTCAAATAGCAATGTCAGTTTGGATTTTCCTATTTTCTGTGATCAATTTGAAACAGACAAACACACCTTACATTAAGTAGTTTGGTTTGCACTACTTCCTTTTTAAGCTTCTCCTAGAGTCCACTGATCTTCAATTGTAAATTTGGTTCATATTCCAAGTTGTTTGGTACTAAGATGTAATTGTTGTTGTCAATAAGCGCTTTGACATGATTTGGTTGAAGTTTGAAATTGAAATGGAAAAAGCCAGAAGTTATTCGCAAATTGTATGATATCATTGTAGTCTTATGTATTCTAGGATTATAGTCAAAAAAGACGGGGAAATGAATATATGACCAATTAACAACTGCATCAATTTTCCCCGTTACACACGTTTATTTATTCATAATCATGGTCACATCCATAGTAGCACGAATTACTATTTATAGGTACGTGATATTCTATATATTGACTAAAATGAACATGACCCTTGATTGAGAGTAGCTCTAGGACACAAGAAAGATACTAGGGAGCTGAAGAATTTAGGAGAAAAATTAATACTGTTGAGCTTCTCGCATAGGCGAATCCATGATTTAAATTGTATGGGTTCAACTTATAAGGTTTTTAATATCAAACTTATTGTATTTTTAAAATTATGGGGTCGTATCTTGATAAATGGCCAAAATGTATGATTTTGAGTGTATTTTCATCTCATTTATCGTGTGAGTTGCGAGAGATTACATGATATTTGAAATGAATTATACTCATTACGTATTTCTTATTTGCAGGAGTGAGCTTAAATGATAATGGAGCAAAAGAAATCAAATTATTGCAAAAAGGAGACAAAAAAGTTAAGGATTGGGAGCTCGTGTATTCTCGTGCGTGGCACGAGAACGGACGCGAAAAAGGAGAAAAGTGAAGGCACAAAACAGCAAAGCGAAGCAAAGGCACGGATCGCTTAGCGAACTGAAAGATTTCAAAAGCTGAATCAACGCGGATTCCAGCTTCTCCCATCCGAAGTTGGATTGAAAAATTCCGCCCCTCATCAACCCTAAGTGATATAAATACACACCCTAAAACATAAATTTGAGAAGGGGAGATACTACTTTAGGGTTACACAACACCTTTGGAGGCAAGAATACACGGGGAGCAAGGAGGAAGATCCAACCACGAGTTTTTCCTTACTTCTTCTTGTTTTCTATTGTTGGTTATGAAAATTAGTATTGTATTTTCACATACTACTATGAGTAGCTAATTTAATAATTAGGGTTTTGGTGGAACCTTTTGAAGGATGAATTCTGTCAAAACCCAAAAACCACTAGTCATGATAACACCTAACTCGATCCGCTAGGTAAGCCAACTAACATAAAATACAATCCAAAAAAGATTATAGGAAAATAGTAAAGAATTAGCTGAACATTTATAAATTGACCCAAGAACTGGTAATACGACTCATGAGCTTCTAAGACTTGGAATTTACAAAGCTGGTACAAATAATTACACGATCTGTTTGAAATTTACATAAACAGATTACAAAAAATCTAAGCTACCAAGGACAAGTGGCAGCTATATCCGGAATGCACGAGCTTCTTCAGAGGTAGCACCCAACATCAGCAGCAGTTCCGCTCCCAAAATCTGTACGCAATGTACAGAAGTGTAGTATCAGTACAACCGACCCCATATACTGGTAAGTATTTTGTCTAACCTCGTCGAAGTAGTGACGAGGCTTTTTTTTTTGGTAAAAGATACTTTCAGATAAAACCTGCACTGTGAATCAGCAATAGAACTACACTACGATATAATAGAGATGAATACATAAAACGGATATGCAAAGCAATAACCGAGTCTTAACAGAGATCACACTCTGGCATGTTCAAATACCTCGACCAATCCTTTCCTTAGAATGAAACCAATAAACCACAACCGTCAATTCTTAACTTTCCTAGCATGAGGAATGTACTCAGATATCAAGTCAATTGCACTGCAACACCCTTCGTACTTTTATCTCATCCTCACCCAATTTACGTATAATAGAACCAACCAGATGACAGAAATACCGATAATAGGAATTACAAAGTAGGAAATGCACAAGTAGCTATAATGAACGAGGATATACATGTGGGCAACAGTAAAACACTAGGCGGAAAGCATGTGAGTGATGACAACAATTGGAAACAAGAAATATCAACTTCAACTAACTAGCATGATGGAGGCTTAAGTACAGATATAACAAATAAGAAGGAAGCACGTGATCTTTACAAGTTAACAAGTAGAGGCATGAATGACTAGCATGGTGGAAGGCTTGTACCTAGTGCAATAGAATAGATACGACATGAGTGTAATAATAAAAGCAGGAAAATAAGCATGATATTTGCAAGTTAAACAAGCAGAAGATATCAGCGACATAACAACAATTGATATAGAGATAAATGACATAACAATAGCAACAAGTCACATCAGATTTGAGATTGCGACAATAACAACTCAAGGTAAAGACATAAATATATACACGGGAAAACAGATATCACAACATAATGCATGTCCCTCATCCTCGCTTGCACGAAAACACCAATCGTGTCATGACCTCGCGATGATATCAAAGCATAACAGTATAGATAAAATGGTACGACATCACCCTTCGTGCTTTACACTCTCATAACATGGCACAGCATCACCCTTCGTGCTTTACACTCACATAACGTGGCACGACATCACCCTTCGTGCTTTTACTCTCTATAATATGGCACGACATCACCCTTCGTGCTTTACACTCTCCCTCACATGATAATGTACAATAATGGCACGGCATCACCCTTCGTGCTTTACACTCTTCCTTACCAAGCATATGTATATCAATGACAAATAAGGCAGGAAGCATAAATAACATCAAGGGGAGTGTTTTTAACGGATATTCCAAACAAATCCCAATCACAACTTTCCAAGCCAACAATGGTTCAAATACTTCCAAAAATCTCACAAACGATCCACA